AACAGAGTTGTGTTCGGCCCATCACTAATCAGGACTGTACAAATGCTTGGTATAGTAATATCAATTGTTGACCTCCTTCCAAGAATACTAGTTGCTTGGCTGTCTCTGGCTTCAGTACTTTCCCTTGAGTAGCTGATGCTGACCCGGAACAAGCATGCAGATTCAAAAGGCAGAAGGATCAGAATTCCTTATCCACATTCCAGGTCAGCGATGAAACCATTGAAACCCCATGCAAAAACAAATGAAAAATGTAGTTCAATCCTTAGCATCAAAGTTCTCCCTTTTCACATCAGAATTCTCCCTTTCACACCAGAGTCACCCTTTACATCAGTAGCCCCCCTTCACATTAGAAGCCCCCTCCTTTTACATCAAAGACTCCTCTTCACATCAGAAGCCCCCTTTACATCCTAAGCCCCCCATCACATTAGAAGCCCCCTTTACATCAGGAGCTCCCCCTCATTTCAGAATTCTTCTTTTTACATTAAAGTTCCCCATTCACATCAGAATCCTACCATCACAAAATGTTGAGGCAACCCTGAGGAAGCCAGAAGGCACCCCAGTGTGCCATAGCACCCTGGTTGAGAAAGGCTGCAGTAGGGAATGGTTGAAGGTCCTCTCAGTTTTCTTTCTTCCTGTCCCAGAGACACAATAGAAAATGAGAGGTAGATGCCCCAAACTGAAGGGAGAATCACTCTCAGACAGTTTTACCTGAATAGGTGTCCACATTAGAAGATTTCACCTCACCTCCTAACATACATATTGTATATTAAAGGAGAACTATGGGATTAAGGCTTTTCCCCATAGTTCTCCTTAGGGTAACGGGAGGACACAAACTAGCGTCCTCCCGTCACCCTAGGCTCAGTATACCGCAAGCTGTAGCTCGCGGTATTTTGAGACGCCGCACTATACCGCGAGCTGCTGCTCGCGGTATACTGGGACGCCGCAGCTGAAGCGGATCCCGACAATTCTGCCGGGATCTGCCCAGCTGCGTGAATGACAGCTGGCTCTGCAAATCTAGAGGCAGAGCCAGCTGTACCCGCCCCCTCCCCCATCCGTTCCGTCAGTCAGTGCTGGCAGATCGGAGCGGGGAGGGGGGAATCCAGCCCCTCCCCTGACACAGCAGAGAGCCGTGATAGGATCGAGAGGTGAGCGAACGCCGGTATGTGTTCGCTCACCTCCCGATCTACTGAGCCGACCTGTGACAGTCTCATTGTCACAGGTTGGCTAGAACTATGAGGTGAGTGAAAAGCACTCACCTCATAGTTCTCCTTTAACTAGATGGGTAGGTGAGAATAAAGTATGCACTTTTTCATTATGCTTTAGCACCCTTCCTTGTAGGGTTCTGCCCCAACAAGATGTATTTGTTATTTGCATTATGCCTAATTTACAAAGCTTTAACACAGGGGTAAGGATCTTTATTTTAACCATGTAGCTGTAATTTTTAAATCTCATTGAACTCTGAATTTGACACTGAAAGTGCCTGTCACTTTTTAAAACATAAGGATATGTATCCTGCTGTGTAAGCTTTGTGAATTGGGCCTTCTACTTTTATTACGGGAAAAACAAATTGCATAACTTTAGAGTAATACACTCAAAATAAGAACAAAATATATTATAGCATATATCAGAACAAGATAATAAACAGTGTTTAATATTGTAGTATTTGTTTATCTTTTCCATATGTCTTTATGGTTTACCATCCACAGTTCTTACTGTTTTATTGGACCTAGGGGAAAGTGCAGGTTATGAAAAAGATTTAAAAAAATAAAGCTAAATACCGTGTCACATAAAGGTAAAATGGCAAAATGAAAGGCATGTAGTCAGTGGCGACTCTAGGAACAATATATAGGGGGGGCACATAAGATACCACAGTCAAAACTGGGGGGGCACTAATAATTTTCACCAATAAATCATACCACTGAAAAAACTAAATAAGTATATATAAATAAGATTACAACTCGGGGAGTAATACGGTATGCAATGATACACACACATATACATACATATATATTACAATAAAAAGTTATGTGTATGTAGACAGATGGGTTAGACTCGGGGCCAGAAGTGCATGGTTGGATGTCTCCCTCCTGTGCGGCTATCTACCATAGAGTGCTGAGAGTGATGTAATTTCCTCTCAACACCATGGAGAAGATGAAGAGGGAGATTGTGGGCGGCGTCGGATTACATGTTGCAACCGCCGGGAGCTGATTTAATAGCCCGTGGCATTGGCGCCCGATAGTTGCAACATGTCCAACGCCGCCCACAATCCTGAATACCGCAACCACCAGGTTCCAATGCCATCAGCTCTCAGCGGTTGCGGTATACAGGATTCGAATCCCGGAGTGGCAGCCTAATTTAGCGGGCAGGGGCGGATCCAGAGTCTAATGTCGGGACAGAAAATAAAGGTGTTGCTTTATTGTAATTGTAATAATACATTACATTGCAGTTGTTTGTCCTTTTTTCTACACATCCTGACATTTTGTGTGCAGCAATGAAATCTCTGCCAACATGTGGCACATCACTGTTATTAAAATGGGTCTGTCATCCACATTGCACATTACTATGTTTTGTTGCTGTAGAGCTTTGTGATACACATGATCCAGGCACAGTGTGAAGGATGGAGTGCCCCAGACTTAAAGGGTTATATTAACTTTCACTTTTTTGCATATACCTACTGCTAGCAAGCAGTAGGTATATGCAAAACGATTAAAAAAAAAAAACTTTTGCAAAGGGTTAATACTTACCTGTGTCTGCGCTCCGTGCTCCCATCCGACATCTGAAAATTTCTCAGGCGGCTGCAAAAGATCTTGGGCCGGGCGCATGAGCAGTTCAGATGTTCGGCCTGGAGATGTGCAGAGACACAAGGTAAGTATATGGAGCAGCGTGCACCCGCACAGACTCCGTGGGACAGCAGAGGAGAGGAGGACAGAGAAGTCAGCGCTGGATCAGAGACCCACATCAGCGCTGGTGGGACAGCTGACAACTACAGGAAAGAAGAAGATAGCAAGTCCCTACACTAACATTGGGGGAGGGGGAAAAATTATCCTTTAATATCACTTTAAGGTAGGGGGCCCGGGAACCTGCGATGTCGCCGGTTACCAGGGCTCCCTTCCTCCTGCCTGGGCCCCCCAAGTGACACAATGCTAGGGCCCAGTCGCAGCTGCAACTATGTGACCCTGGTAGTTCTGCCACTGTATAGAGGACTTGAAATCTCAACAATACATTATACAGCAATGCAAAATACCACCAGCTATAAAGCACAAACTAGGCAGTTACTGCTGGTATTCTGCAGTGTGCCGCTTTTTTTTAAAAACAGGAAACATTAAAAAGGTTTAGAATGTCGTTGCTGAGTGACTTACTTTGAATCGTGGGCCCTTGATTGTCGGCGGGCAGCGGCGAGTCAGGAAGCTCACAGAGAGGAGAGGAGCAGAGGCATGTCCTCAGCGTGCACGGTTTAACCAGCGTGTGCGGTGGGCGTGTGCGGCGCGGGGTACGGCGTGGAATGGTGAACAGGCAATTTAATTGATAGCTGAAAAATTGGCGATGGAAAACGTTGACAGCGTTTTCCATCGTCGATTTTAATCGACTAGATCGAATAGTTGTTGCAGCTCTAGATCACACACTTCGCCACTCGTCCTCAGTATGCGCAGGTGTTAACCAGGCCTAAGACTAACATTAGACCTTTAAATCAAACTCCAATAGCAACATTACTTTTACCATTTACAAATTAATAACAATCCCAGCAATGTCAGTGAAGGGTTAACTTTGTCAACTTAAAGGTATACTTGCAGTTAGCAGACTTCTCATTCCACACACAAGGGTGCTGGAGAGATCAGCATGTCAGTGTGCTCCAAAGTAATGAAGAATGCAGCCTTCCAGCGTGGAACTCAGGATGGAGAGCGGTGAGGTAAGTAGCATTTTTTTTTCTTCTGCAGGATGGAGAGCAGTGTGCCTCGGTAGCTGACAAGACTGAGGCACAGGACATACTTTAAATTCCGCGGTTGTGTGCCGTGGAGTCGGCATCGGGACGGATAGAAGTGACGTCGTGGGACCTCTTCACCTGCTGCTTGTGCGGTGCGGCCAGTCAGAGTGGCGGAGGGAGAGACTATTTTCTCGGGGGAGGGGGAACTGGGAAATTCCCCCCCCCCCTGAGAAAATGGTACAAGGAACAGCCTAGGGGGGGCAATTGCCCCCCCAGGCACCCCTGTAGCGACGCCACTGCATGTAGTCACATTCTATATAAAAATGTCATTATTTCACTCTTTAAGTGATATATATTCCACTGCACAACACTCCCAATAATAAGCTAATGTTTAACATGAATATGGCATGAAACTGTAATAAAAACATATTATGGTAATTAGAACATGTCCTTCGAACTACTCGATCTGCTCGCTCACCCTTCTTGCACCAGGGACACAAGATGTTAACACCACATGTTACTAAAAGAGCAAGACTACAAAAAAACTGATATTTTACTTTTGCCTGGACCATTCATCTGAATCACTCACCAATTTCTAATACATCTCTATGAACAAGATTTACTAAGGGTAATTCCAGCCTTTATCACCCTATTCACTTGGAATGACCAAGAAGAATCTATGCAAAAGTAAATGATAGTGTTGTAACCTTGTAACAGTCATGGAAAAGGTGGCACAGACGCAAACAGGAAGGGAGGGGTTCCTGAGGTGGTTTTGGACCAGCCGCACCGGCCACATCGGAAAACACGGGACCGGCAGTGGCGGCGAAGAGACGAGCAGGAGGAGGTACGGGGGGGGCGGCGCACACCCGCAGATCCTGCAAGCGATCGGGCGTCTCTAGAGACGCCTGACCGCTTGTATGTAAACAGCCATCGCTTGTATGTAAACAGCCATCGGTAGTTAATGATATACCCCGTCATTTACTATAAAAACCCAGCAACTCTGTAGATCTTTCTTATTTATAATCATACTGGCTACAACAAACCTTATTTACTCTAAACATGTTTTTTTTCCCAACAGAGGATAAAGTATGGACTACCTTGTACCATGATCTTCTACCTCAAACATCAGTTGTTGGTGCAAGCAGAGAGAAGCGAGTAGTACTCCAGTTGAATTACAGCACAAGCATGGATCAAATCTCAACAATCACAAACAGTGCTGAGAAATGTCAACAATATATTTCATATTCCTGTAAGATGTCAAGGCTGCTGAATACTCCAGGTAGGACAAAGAGGCTGAGCATCACCTCTTACTATTTTTTATATTATGTCTCATGTTTGCTTGCATCTTCCTAGTCAGCATACGGGTTGGCTGAATGGTCATTCTAAGATTCTGTAAACTACATAACTGTTTCTTTAAAAGAAATGTGATTACCTAGACATTTCCGTATGACATTTGACATCAGTGTAAGTGCTATGACACCAGGTATTAATTTAAAGTAGTGACTATATGGTGTTCTATTGAACTGTGAAATAGATATTACATATTTTACATTGCCAGGCTAATGGACTGAACCATTTTCATAGCTTAAACTTCATAGCCGTGAATGCTGATAATATAGCCTTTTTTTAACTGATGATGGGAAGTTTCCTACTTATGGCATAATTATTTAATACAGGTAAGCATGACTTATGCTATATGTAGGTATTTTAAGGTGTGCTGCAAAATCTGTGTAGTATGTTTTTTTGTTTTTGTTTACATAGCATTGATATTAGCTTACTTGTTTTAATAATAATGCAGTTGCACATTTTACCTAGCTTATGTGAAATCCATTTTTACTGCACACTGGTATAGCTGTAGAAAAATAAAACCCGCAGTGGTGATTAAATACCACCAAAAGAAAGCTCTATCCATCCCAAAAAAATGGTATAAAATTCATTTCAGTACAGCATTGCGTGACGGAATAAATGTCAGTCAAAGTACTGCAGCGCTGAACACTGAAAAATGCCCTTGCCAGGTAGGGGATCTAAACACCTGGTCTTCAAGCAGTTAAAGAACAAATCAACCTCTCTGCACCCTACTATACTCCTAAGGCCATACACTCTACAACCATCGCAAGACCTTAGTCTTGCGATGGTTGTACAGGGATTAAAAAAACGTAAGATCTGCCTATCTTGGACAGGCAGATCGCACTCTCGATCATCGCAAGCCCGCCCCCCTGAGGGGCGGGCTTCCGATGACCGCAATGCTGAACGGGCAGTGTGCGTGTGCGCACACCGGCCCGTTCGGCATTTGTCTTCCGAGCACCGTTCTAACCAGCCGAGAATCGTACGATTCCCGGCTGGTTTTCGAACATGCTGGTTCGACGGAAGACGTGCGACCGTACAGTAGAAACGGTCGCACGTCTCCGTTCACACTGCTCGATTCTCGTACGATCGCGGGATTTCCCGCGATTCTCGTACGAGAATCGAGCAGTGTATGGGCACCTTAAGACTAAGCACATGCAACAGATTGAAGAGCATGCAAACCAATAATGGAATCAGCCTGCCAAACTTAACTGCATGAGTCCAATACTGAATGGCATGGTATATTCATGCAAAGTCAGGACATAACTAAGGGAATTAAGAAACAATTTGAAGCAGTGCAGATTCCATAACACTTTGGAGAGATGTTTTATTAAAACCGGAGAAAAGAAAACAAGTACAAATTTGAGTTGTTGCCCCCAGCAACCCATCAGAAGTCTTCTTTTTCTCCACAAAATTGAAGATGTAACACAACTGCAATTACTGGAAGACAGTGCAATTTAAAGCACTTTACTGATTTTAGGTGCAACAAAATGGTTAAAAAATTGGTTAAAAAAAACTAAATGAAATTGCTACTTTTAATTTCCATTGAGCTTGGCTTCAAGGCTGTGCTCTACATTTTCAGAGATTTTTTTTTTTGCACTTCCTCGATTTTTTTTTTTTTATTCGGTGGTATTTCTAGGCGTGGTATATCATAAACAACATAGCCATCTAGTTCATCCAGTGTACAAACTAAAAAGAACATTTATATTTTCTAAAGAGATAAATAGATCAAATAGGAGATAAATAGATCAAAAGATAATTGAAGAGATTTAATTAGAAACGTGTAGAGAGAATATAGGCAAAGAAATCTGTTAAAGCTAACATAGTGTTACACAGCACTTTCCTTATTACAAAATATAAAGGTATTCAACCTTTGTCACTGTTGTTAGTTATAATTCAAAGAAGCATGAAACTACCCTGAAATGATTGAATAGGTTTTTGAAGGCAACAGGGGGTCCTGTCTTAGTGAAGCAGAAGATACCATTGATCCAGAAAACAGATTTGATTGCCGTTAAAAGAGACGGAACCCTTGCTTTGTTGGAGTTTTGATTTTGCATTATTTTATAACATGCGTACATCTTCCAAATGTATCACACTGTCCGCTACAATGCTGTTTTTGCCAGTATGGCCCAATATCACTACTGAAACTATTCTCCAGGGCTGGGTTAATAATCTCACTTGAATTGATTCCTTGATTTGTCTTTTGGACAGCAAGAATACTACAACTTAAAAGGAAATCCTAGTGTATGTTTGTTACATAAAGATTTTGTGTTGTAGTGACATTATCCCTAAAGTCCGACTCTTGGTACAAGAAAAAAACTTGTAGCACCCCTGCAAAGCCTCCTCTTTGAGGTGCTCCCTGCCATGGACAAACACCTGCCTCCTCTACATGCAATCCAGAGCTAATAGTCCAAGGGCTGTGCACAGCCCGGAGTGCCAGGGCAAAGAGATAGGGAGAAGAGCCAGGAATAACGGCAGAGTGTCAGAGCCTGCCGGACCCAGGGTTAAGGTACGTAATACAGTCTCTTCATCTCCTACTAGACTTCATACACACTGTTTTTGTTGGGTACATAGGAGAAAGTTGCACCACACCCCCTAAAGGTACATGTAGAAACTAGGGGTAGAATACGGGGCTTTTAAGGTACTAGTACATCATTTATTTTCTATAAAAATGAAATGTATTAAATACATTTTCCATTAAAACATCAGTGAAAGTTCAAAACCACATACGTTTCATGAACCGTATCTTGCTATAGTGGGCAACAAAAGCACAATTAATAGAAAAGACAATAGGATCTCTATGGACGTTGGTCCAATTAGACCATACAATGGATATTTAGTTGTACTGTAGTTATTATGGCCGTGGTTGCGGTTTGAACTGATTTTATTTGATCAATTGATTTTATGTCTTTTATGAATGTTTACTGATGTCTTAATTCGAAAATATATTTATTAGATGTAATTTTTATTTAAAAAATGTGTTTGCACCTTAAAAAACCCATGTTTGTCTCCTAGTTTGTACTCCCACTAGACTTAGCAAGCATTTAACCTTTGCATTGCAGTGGGCTCCCACTGGAAGTGGTTTTCTGGAGTTGGGCTTCAAATTACTTTTTTGAGGAGACTTTCATATTTGTTCTCACTTATTTTTATACGTATTAATTATTGTGGTTCAAACAAAAGTACAGATTTGTAAATGCTTGGTCTAGTGGTTATCGGTATATCAAGAAATGTTATACGCACAAGACTTTTGCTACAGTAAAGAAAGTTGTTATTAGCATTGGAAGCAGCTGGCCACTGGGAGATAAAATATACCTGGTATTTCCAGGTAAATTGAATTTGTGACAGTACTAGTTTTTGAGGATTGGCTTTTAAGGAAATCAGTGCTTCTAGTGACTGAACTTGATCAGAGTGGTGGTGGTGATGGTGGGGGCGGCTGGCTAAAGGAAGATGAATATTTGCAGTTGAGGAGGGTGGTAGTTAAGTAAACTTGTCATTTTGCCCTACATGGACTTAGCACTTGTAAAATGTAAAACACATCTAAAATAACACACTGCAACGGCACTGCATCAGAAAATGTAAATTCATCACAGATAGGGTAGCGTGTATGTGAAGCCAATTACTTTTTTGGCTAGAGAGGGAAAGGATTAGAACTCTTGTTGGGGTTTCACTGCTCTCCATGAGAACGATTTATTCTCGCTTTTTGTCCTGCTGACAATGGTTTCACAGGACAGAAGGTGAAGAAATATTTGCATATCTATCCTTCTCTACACTATTAGCAGCAGCTTTGGTCCCCCGTGTTTTTGGTTGACATTTTTAAAGACTACAATAGACACAGAGAAGCAGTCCCATGCACATCATCTGCAATGGCATGCCTCCTCTCCCCCTTTTAGACACTAACTTCATCCTCCTGCTTAGCTCATTGCACTATAACCCTTTTTTTTGGTGGATAATGAAGGTAGTAGCCGGGCCTCTAGAACATCCACCAGGCCCAGGGTTCCTTTCTACTTTGCTTTGTAGAAGATCCAGTTCTCATAGTTACTGCTATTGTTAGTGATAAGTGAATTGGCCTGGATTCAGTTCGCAGGAGGATCTGTAAACCAAGCCTGAAATTCCCAAACCATAGACCGCCAAAACTCTATTGAAGACTATGGGAGACTAATTTTGTAATTTATTGTGGCCATTTTCAAGGCCAAATTTTAAGCTTTTTGTAAAAAAAAAAGAGTATGTGTAACTGGGCAATGCCATGGGAGATATGTTTGCAAAAAAAAATCTTTCAGCAGAGAGCTACCCCCTCTGCATGCCTGAAGATAAGTGTCTGGTCTGGGGGTTTACTAATTGGAATGTGGAAGCCTTCTTATAAATATGGGGCCCCAGATATACCCAGATTTTCAGCGCACCACATCTAAATGAGTAAGATCCAATGTTAATCAGGAAGAACAAAGCCCCAACGACTTGCCAAAGCAATGACCCGCACCATGACAGTCAATCCTGTTGCACTCTCGCCGCAAAAGAAAACTCCTTGCCCAGATGCCAAATGACAACAAACCAGCCTGGAATGCTGGGTAAAGTGATATGATCATGAACGTATGTGGTCAATGATATCACCTGAAACACCATCCGATTTGTTTGCAATGTGAAACAAGCCAGCCAGTAGCTGATGTTTAGTGATACTCTGAGTAAAGGAATGACTTCCATCTGCATCAGCTGAAGGTTTGGGCAGGGAGATGAACTGCCCAAATCTACCAATTTAGTTGCCAGTTTGTCAAAATGAGAACAAGCTGAGTTCAGGTCAAAGTCATGGTCAGCTTGAACATGAAGCTGCTGCCTAGTCATGGTGTAGACTCTCTACCTTCTTATCTTACAAGCCAGGAATATCCTAACAGTGGATGGCACAGACAAGTGCTTACTTAAAGCTGAACTTCAGGCAGATATGAAAGACATATCAGCTTCTTCCAATCCCTCTACAGCCGGGCTCAGACTGGGGGAGTTAGAAGTCCCACTGGTATGTTGTGCTGCAGTGTTTATGAAGCGTTATGGTAATAGGAGGAGAGAGCAGAGTGACAGAGAAATTAGATCTTGAGTGTGCTGCTTCTTTTACAGTTCATTCTTGGGTGGGGGGGAGGCTATCAGGACCTGTACATGTTTTTGAATTGCGGCAGAGAAAAACTAGGTCTCTTAACGTGCCAGACAGGGCAGTGTTGTATTGCAGAGCAGTTTAAGTTCCAGGACCAGATGGACAGGAATACAAATCATTTGGCAGGTAAAATGTATGTTATCTCTGTTTGGTTGTTTTTTAGAGTTTGGCTTTAAAGCTGTGTAAGCACTCCATTCTGTGTCTGTTCACTTGCACTTGGTTGCTTGTAATAAAGTGTGCCATAAGTTAAATATGAATAATAATATCTTACCTCTACTCTTTCATTTACATAAACAAATAACATATACCTGTAGTGCTTCTGAAAACATAACAATCATATATGCAACCCTGCACTAAAGAGATTTGTTTTTCCTGTAAATTATTTGTTTGTTTTTTGTTAAAATCACATATTTAAAAAATTATAGAGGGGAAAGTTCTTCAGCCAACTTGTCATTGTTCTAGTGTAAATAATGCACACTTGTGCCATGGAAATGGGTTAAGAGCGTATTACCTCCAGTGGTTGTAATCAGGGATGCCCATAGTCATGAATTATGGAATGTACTGTCCAATCAGAAAAACAAAATGTCCAGGTACTTCAGTGATGCATTTTTTCCATATTTACTAAACTATTCTGTAGCGTTGCCTTTTGTAAAATTCATGAATTTAAATGGGATTCTAATCATCACACCTACCCGTGCTGTTTATTACCTGTGAAATTGTTTTCGTATGAGCACTTTGGAATTCTGAGCTTGATTTTTCCTGTTTGAGCTGGCAACAAAGGAGCACAGAATATCAATTGGTAAAGTCTTGTAAATGTAAAGTAGACACTGCATTTCATGTTTGTTTTATATTTTCTATGTCATTTCTAATTCCAGTGTTAAAAACACTCATTTTAAAACAGATGGCACTTGCATGTCTCACTTTCATCACACACCCCAAAATTAGGGTTTTATTTCTCCTTTTAAGATAGTGGGTGCATCCATCAAATCTTTTTTAATGCCCCTTGGCCAACTGTGCATCCAGTTTAAAGTTAATAGCACATGCCTAATATTATAGATCTATCTATTCCAAGCTGCATACCGATGTCTAGGGCTTACAATGTTAACCCCTTAAGGACGGAGGCAATTGTCCCAGTAAACAAAACATAGATTTTGAGCTATATGTCTGTTCAACCATAATTGACCTCTTTCTCTTTAAGTGCACCCACATTATTATATATTGTTTTTTAGAGGACAAATAGGGCTTTCATTTGACATACAATATTTATAAATAAACTGTAATTAAATCTAACTGATAATGACACATTTTTTTTAAAGATGCTTTTTATTTAGTTTTTTTGTGTCAAAACACCATAGCAAAAAAACAACAAAAAAACAACTATCAATACATACAACAACCGGGTCAACATAACCCAGGCAATGATGTGATACATACATACATTTTACTGTTTACAAGGTTACATAATCTAGTACATGGGAGTTATCCTCCAAACTTTGGCAGTATACGGTGTGGGAAATTGGGGATAGCCACATGCAGTCAATAGGGTATAAAACACTGTCAGGAGTTCAAAAGGAGGCCATTAGTTTAAAAGAGGAGGGTGCATTTAGTATATCACTTAATATCCACCGTTGTGTTAGAGTAGGACAGCCAAGGGTCCCAGATGCATCCAAAACGCGCCGGGTTACCCCGCTGCTCATACATAAGTTTATAAATGGGTAATGCCTGATCAAACAGTCTTTTCAATTCGCTCAGGGAGGGAGCTGCCGGGCTACCTCAGACCAGCAGAATGGTCTTCCTGGCGTAAAATAGGAGGAGGCGTAGTAGTGTCTGAGCTCTCGAGGCCAATGGCAGTTCGCCAAACAGCCCCAGGAGACCGAACGCAGGGCTACAGATATTGCGGAAGCCTAGGCTAGCTTCCATGAAGGAAGTAACCTCCGACCAAAAGTTCCTTATGACAGGGCATGACCAAAAACAATGTAGGAAGTCAGCCTCTTGACCACATCGCATGAAACAACGTGAGGTCAGGCAAAGGCCCAATCTATGTAAAAGAGTGGGAGTGTAGTAGGCCTGGTAAAGGTAGCGGTTTCCAAGGAGGGTAAGAACAACCAGAAGAGCAGTACCAGTACAGCATGACTGCACAGTGTCCGGAAGAACAAAACTTAGCCAGGATCGAGGGTCAAAGCAAGATGCAGGGCTCCGAAAGCGTTAATGTACCTGTAGAAATGGTGCTCAACTCCACGGGCAGGCGGACGCCGCAGGCGGCGTCTGCGCTGGGGGAGGCCTTTGCCATCCAGCCACTCCGAGGCCTCGGTGGGTGAGGAAAAGAGTTGTACTTTACCATCTCTTGTCATCTTGAGCTTAGCAGGATAAAGCATGGCATAAGCGACCCCTTCCTGGCGTAGCCGCTTCTTGGCCTTTGATGTTGCAATTCAGCGGAAAAATCAGGAAAGATGAAGACACGGTTTCCATTATAGAAGAACTCCCCTGCAAGACGTGAAGCACGAAGAGATGTGTATCCCTGAAGTTGAGGATCCTGGCAATGATAGGCCTGAGCGTGGAGCCAGGGGGAGGCATGGAGGGTGGTGTGCGGTGCGCCCGCTCAACAAAGGATGGAGAGGAGGGGGCGAAATCACTAAACATCTTCCTTAGCCAATCTTGGGGAAAAATCTCAGGATGTTGGCCTTCTGACCTCTCAGGAAATCCAACAAAGCAGAGATTACTGCGCCTGGAGCGGTTTTCCAAACCATCCATCTTGGCCCTACAGGCCGCAAGCTCCGTCTGTAGACCAGTAGTATCCCTGGACAACGGAGCCACCGTGTCCTCCAGGATATTAATGCAGCCCCCTGTTTCAGTGACTCTGTCACGGAGGCCCTGTACATCATGCTTCAGCAGGGAGAGATCTACATGCACCCCTTCAACGTCCTTCTGATCCCCAATTTTTACCATGACTGCTGCCAGAAGGATGAGGAGGGAGAGCGGAGGGAGCCCGTATGTCGCTCGAGCAGAGGGAACCGTCAGGATGAGGTGAGGATCAGAAGCTGTGATCTGTAATCAGCGTCCATCCATGTACTGATAATGACAAATTTAAAAAATGTCATTTTTTCCAAACATGCACACACACACATTTTTTTGGGAACATCATAACACTGATACATTTTACTGCAATAAAACACACATAATTGCATTCTACAATGTCCCATGAGTACATCAATACCCCCCATGTACAGGTTTGATGTGGTTTATGGGAGTTACAGTGCCAAATATTAGGCTTGCCCATTTGAGTCATCATACTTGAAATTTTGGCAGATTGCATTTCCAGGGCTAGGTTGCCTTTGAGACAATACGACAGCC